TCAGTGCTAATTACTTATATATACCAGACATGGTCCTGTGGTCTGCCAGTGCTAATTATTTATATATACCAGACATGGTCTTGTGGTCTGTCAGTGCTAATTACTTATATATACCAGACATGGTCCTGTGGTCTGCCAGTGCTAATTATTTATATATACCAGACATGGCCCTGTGGTCTGCCAGTGCTAATTATTTATATATATATACCAGACATGGCCCTGTGGTCTGCCAGTGCTAATTATTTATATATACCAGACATGGCTCTGTGGTCTGCCAGTGTTAATTATTTATATATATACCAGACATGGTCCTGTGGTCTACCAGACATGGACCTGTGGTCTACCAGACATGGACCTGTGGTCTACCAGTGCTAATTATTTGTATATACCAGACATGGTTCTATGGTCTGCCAGTGCTAATTATTTATATATATACCGACATGGTCCTGTGATCTGCCAGACATGGACCTGTGGGTAGATAATATCGATACATCAAACACAATTCACATTTAACAATGCATGCCATGTCGGGACAAGGGCTGACAATGAAGATTGAATCTAATTGAGATTGTACAGTCTACCATGAGTATATTTAGGGATATTGGAAAATGAGGCAAAGCAAAGGCCATTAAAAGTAAACAGGAGGAGGTGAAAAAGGCATCACTTTGTCAGAGAAGAGATGGGACAACAGTGCTGCTGTCTCCTCCTGTTAGACGTCTAGATGTAGGGGTTGAAACATTGTTTGAGGATGGGTAACTATTGAGGACCGGTGTCCTAGCAGGGCATGTTATGTATTACATCTGTTCATTACTATAAATATACTGAAATACATATTGAATTAATTAGGTATTTTAAATTACATAAACATATAAACTTATCTGTTTTTAGTACAATTTGGTCTCCTTATCTTAGAAAGGGGACTGACTTATTGGGAAGGGTTTAGAGGAGGACTGCTAGGATGATTCCAGGGATCAAAGGGTACCTTATATTCTGTTGAGAAAAGAAATGTATTAGGTGATCTTGCTGGATGATAGGCCTATTATTTCTGGGCTTTGTTTGAAGATAATAGTACAAGTGGACACATGTTAAAAATTTGAAAAAAGATGGGCTAAGTTCCATTTAAAATAGTTTTATTTTTCAAACAGGTTTATGGAATTAACTGCCATCGACAGTAGCAGGGTCTAACACTTCACAAGTGTCCTTTTGGCACGTGTTGCAACATTTAAACGTAAATATTTATAGTAATTTTTCCACAAAAATGTTTTTAAAAAACATATAGTTGTATTTATTTAATTTGATTCATAAAAAGTTTTTAAAATTGCAAAGTTTAACTGTTTGTTGATTTCTGCATATTGAATGAAACATTTGTGTTTGTGAATTTCTTTCTTAGTATAATACGGCACTCACAGACCTCTAGAACGAAAGTGGATATAGTTTTTAAAACAGCACCAGTTTGAACTGTACATCTTCAATATAAGTGTACTTTTATCAATTTTAGCCAATCACTGTTTTACAACCCTGTGTTCCATAAATTGTCTATTTCTTGAAAACTTTGAGAAGTTATAGATTGGTGGTCTAAAAATGTAATAAAAGCAGTTTTTATGTTCTTTTTCACTGTATAAGCCAATGTGGCTTACAGTTTATCAGAGACTCGCGTAGACATCGGGATTGAGATAATAGATTTTTCGTTGGTAGAGAAAATTTCTGTCACACTTATGGTCATAATTTTTTAAAGCTTGCAGAAAATTTGTTTTATAATTTAATACTTCATTTGAATTATGATATTGCAGTATGATAATAAATGTTTAATTTGGAACAAAATGAAGTGGAGAATCGTTAAGTGTAGTTAGATAATTTTTCACTTGACAACATCAAGGTTTGTTTCACTTAGAAGTCACTGTGTGTTTATATATTCGATCTTATCGGTGTAAGTAACTACTTCAGTAAGCAGATACAGCTAGAGAAAAAAAATTAAATTATAGATATAAACAATTAAAAAAAGCTAGCTTATAATTTTGGTAAGGCAAAAAGTTATTTTTATTGTATATCATTGATTGTATGTGCAGTGTTTTTTGTATCAAAACAAAGACAATATTTACAGTTTTATAAAATAAAAATCATTACTGGAAGTTTTACAAGAATGAAGGTAGACATGTAAATCAGTAATTGAAGTCTGCCACAAAATTAAGTCTTTTTAATTGCTTTTCAAAAAAATATTTCACAAAGAAATCTTTTCTAATTGTCAAAGCTATGAATTCATACAAATTTTGCATATAAAAATAAAACAGTTTACAGAAGTTAAGGGAGCATCTCAAGTTGCAAACAATTCTATTCATTAATTTTTTGTTTTATTTCAGTCCAGGAGCATTGAATTGATGACCTGCATGTTTTATGTTATCTCACTTTTGTAAGGTTTATGAAAAAAAAAATACTTTTTTAAGTTTTCACACAATATTATTGAATAATTTTAGAAATATAAATGTTATTGTTTTAAGGAAATGTAATTTGTAGTTTCTTTTAGTGATAAATGCTTTTTGCTTTTCTTTTTGTTTCTATTTGAAATCTTTAACATCAAGTAAGTTAAAAGAGTGATAAAGGAGCTTGTTTTTTGTGTGCAAAATGAACAAAAGACCAGCCAGTACATGTCATTTTTCTTCATTGAATATCGAATTGTGCATAACATTGTCATAAAAAAGTTAAGAAGGTGTTAAATTTATAGAAAACTAAAGTATCATCAATAAATTGTATTGAATGTTGTATTTCATGTAGTCTAATAACTTTAGTTGAGAGCACGGAAGGAGGTGGTGTTAATGTTTCTACTTAGAATTGTTTTTCTGTGTAGCAGTTTTCATAATGTATTGAAACTCAGTTTTTTTGGCTGATGTAATTGTAATACACAAGCAGCTTAACACCTGTATTCTGTGTAAATGATAAGACTAATTTTTCATGTTGTTTGAGACACTAATAACACTTTTTTGTAGGTATCCTTCAGTTGAAAATTATTGAACAATTAACGAACCATGGCTTATCATCGACACCATTCATTTCCAAGCGATGTAGCACACCAGGAACGTCAATTTGGTGAGTTGAATACTCATTAGGTGGGTGTTTGTGTATGTTTCCAAGTGATGAAATACATCAAGGATTTCAAGTTGATGAACACTTCTGAGGTGGGTGTTTCTGCACGTAACACTCGTTAGATGGGTGTTTCTGTATGTAAAAGTTGTTAGGTTGGTATTTCTTTGTGTTCAAAATTTACACACACACTGCTGAAATATAAGTTAATTTAGTCTACAGTTTATGCAGATATGAAGTGGTCATGTGATCCAGCAGACCTATAAGAACATTTGAAGTTGTCATGTGATCCAGTAGACCTATAAGAAGATTTGAAGTGGTCATGTGATCCAGTAGACCTATAAGAGCTGGAAAAAGTGATGATAGAAAATCAGAAAGATCTAAGTGACTTCATTTAATCCGCTTGTTCTGCACTCATCAAAATGTCCATCAAGGCAGTCTTCTATATGTCCCTCGAATGGCAACTAAAACACAACTCTGGTCATGATGTATAGTGTTTGCAGTCATATGAAACCTTATTATAATAAGCTACAGGAACTATTATGATTGGACAAAACAGTACTGTTTCTACTCAAGCAATGCACGGGGAGCTATGTATTATGGGTTTTGGTTGACAAAACAATACTGTTTCTACTCAAGCAATGCACGGGGAGCTATGTATTATGGATTTTGGTTGACAAAACAATACTGTTTCTACTCAAGCAATGTACGAGGAGCTATGTATTATGGGTTTTGGTGAACCATCTGTTGGACCTGTATTGTATAGCCTGGTTTATAGAATATGACGGATGTTTGAGGACCACAATGCCACCATCTGTTGGGCCTGTATTGTATAGACTGGTTTATAGAATATGACGGATGTTTGAGGACCACAATGCCACCATCTGTTGGGCCTGTATTGTATAGCCTGGTTTATAGAATATGACGGATGTTTGAGGACTACAATGCCACCATCTTGTATGTTGTGATGTCATTCAGGCCCAAGGTCATCCAACGTCTTGATTTCAGTCCCATCAAACATCTTTAGGATGTGTTGAAAGAATTCACCAGAGCCTGCCCTTTATCCTCTAGCTAAGTGTGATGCTTATTGATGAATGGTTACAAGTACCTCAGGATGTCTTGAGGCACCTTGTATGCTGTGATGTCAATCATGCCAAAGGTCATCCACCCCACTGTTAAGATCATTCCCAGATTTTTTGGTTAGGCAGTGTAGATTGATTGTATTGTTAAATAATATCTATGTAATGTAGTATTTGTGTTTTATTTTAAGTAAAGTGAAAAACTAATGTGCACAGTGTTTTTTTTCTTACTTCTCAGGTGATGATAGACGACACAGGATTAGCAGCATCCCACAACTTTGGAAGTCTTATTGTAAGTTCTAACATTGTCTATAGTACCTTGTCCAAGTTAAATATTGGAGTTTCTATGCAGGTAACTTCAAAATATCTGACAACCAGTCTCTAGAGTTGATAAACGTTGTCTATACTACTGTGTTAGAGTTGCTAGGGATGTAATTTCGTGATATTAGCTCTAATTTTTACAGGGAACTATATTTTTAAGGTTTTTTATTTCAGTGTACCAGTTACAACAACAAGCTCCTACTCCAAAAAGAATCGTGTGCACCAGAGAAGTAAGTATGCCATTCTATTTATTGTAAATATCAAAAATAGAAATTTCACTAAATTATTGATTATTTAAAAGTAAAAAACATGTTGACATATAGAGTAGGAGTTGGCAGTACATGGCTTTAATTTTAGTTGTTGAGATAGTTGTTAATTCGGTCTAAGTGTAACGTCTTAACACAAACACCAAAACGTAACCAAAAACAGAAATAAGCTGGTCTTAACCCTTTCACGATGGGTGGGTCTAACTGTGAATGTCATGGTCTTTTAGGGAGTTATTTTCAAACTTTTATTAAACTAGTTTTTGTTCATGTTATAGCAATTAGTATAGCATAAAATCATAGCTAATAATCCATATTTTAATAGTATATAAGCTCTTAATTTTATAAGGCAATATATAATAAAATCTTGAATTTCTTCTAGAGTGAGAAATGTGACATATTTTCGGTAGGTATCCCCCTTATTATTTTATTCACCACCCCTCCAATAAGTAAAAAATTTAATGTAAATTACTCACTATAAAATTGTCATTGCTCAGACAAACCATAATTTTTATAGCTTTCAATTTTGTTTGGTTATGGAACTATCAAATAGAAAATCAGACCCCTCACCCACCTGTCACATCCTCTCTT